AAAATATTTTATAACATAATAATTTTATTTTAAATTATAATTTTATGTAGAAGCAATATAATTATTACATTAATAAAATTCGACAACAGTTTGTGCCAAAGATTTCATATTGAATGATATCAATGTCGCGAAATAATTTTTTATATATATGCGTTTTGTCTTTTACAGCGGATACATCATTGAAAAACGCGATCTTACGCATGGTGGTGGCTGGGTACCAGCAGTTACACACGTTAATCCTAAGTATAATCATGCAACTGTGCCAAGATTGCTTGAGGGAACCACATATGAATTCCGTGTATGCGCAGAAAATTTACAAGGTCGCTCCGAGCCGCTGACCACCGACCGATCCGTCGTTGCCAAGAATCAATTCGGTAAGTATACTTTTAATAGAATACATACTATCAATTTCCCGAAATACAATTAAATATTTTAATTGAAATAGCGTATACATCTGATAGTAAAAATAACTCTAGAATAATTACAAAATAATTAGATAAAATTGTGCATTTAAATTTCTCCAGAAAAGGATTTTAAGTATATAAAAATTGTGCATTTGAATTTCTTCAGAAAAAGATTTTAAGTATATAAAATTGTTTCTAGTTTTTTTTTAAATAATTAATTTATTATTATTGCGCGTTTGGCAAAATGTCAATCAATTTTTCAAGATTTTCTTTCTTTGTGTTTACACATTGTTACGTTCCATCTCCAGTGGTTCCTGGACAACCTGGCAAGCCGGAATGCGTGGACGCTGACAAGGATCACATTAAGATTAAATGGACCGCACCCATCAGCAACGGCGGCTCCAAGATCATCGGCTATGACGTGGAGCGACGCGATCGCGCCACTGGTCGTTGGATAAAACAAAATAAAGAGCCCGTCAGGTATCCCGAATATTACGACGACCATGTAACCGAGGGTCATCAATACGAATATCGTGTGTCGGCTATAAATGCCGCTGGTGCTGGAAAACCAAGCGATACCTCGTCCGTATTTACGGCCAAACCCATGAAGGAGAAGCCGAAGCTTCATCTGGACGCTCTGATCGGCCGCAAGATCAAGGTTCGCGCTGGAGAACCGATCAACGTCAATATACCGTTATCCGGCGCACCTACGCCAAAGATCGAATGGACCAAAGATGGAAGATCGCTTACGGAGACTCTTCGTTTATCGGTATGTAAACCATACCACCTAACCATCTTTTCCTATACTCTTGTGTATTTAAAATATTTATATTTCTTAAATTTACTTATATTATAAATATTTTATTATACATTGTAATATTTTATTTTCATTGTCTCGTTTTTATTATGTCTTTAGACCGAAACCAAGAGCGACCGAACGCAGCTGTTGATCGAGAAATCCGTGCGAGATGACAGCGGCATGTATACCGTGACCGCGTCGAACGAGCACGGAAAGGATTCCGCCGACATCGAGGTGATAGTCGTGGACAAGCCTGGACCGCCTCAGGGTCCTTTGCAATACACTGGCACGACGCAGGAATCCGTCGGGCTATCCTGGAATCCACCGGCGGACAATGGCGGCTCCGACATCACGAATTACATCGTCGAAGTGTCGGACTACGGATCTGACAATTGGCGACAAGTACCCGGATATGTTCCCAGGACGAACTTCACGGCAAGGGGCTTAATTGAAGGCAGAAAATACGTCTTTAGGGTCCGCGCCGAAAATATGTATGGAGTGTCGGAGCCCTTGGAGGGCAAACCCGTGATCGCCAAGAGCCCCTACGATCCGCCAGATGCGCCGAGTCAGCCTGAGATCCTCGGTTATACTCCTAACAGCTGCAGTCTCACGTGGAATCCGCCTATCAACACTGGTGGAAAGCCTATCACTGGTAAATTATCAGAATAAATTATAATAATATTTAACAGTAATAATAAAATATTATTATAATTGTTATAATTTCTAGCGAAAAAAATTTCTCTCATTTTTCAATAAAATTATAATTAAAATTAATTTATATTATGTATAACTACATTATACAATATTTGCGTTATCTTCTTCAGGATATTATGTGGAGAGACGTGAGCGTGGCGGTGAATGGTTGAAAGTCAACAACTACCCGACACCGAACACGACATTCACTGTGCAGGATCTTCATGAAGGTTCGCGATATGAATTCAGAGTAATCGCTGTCAATGAAGCTGGACCTGGAAAACCTAGTAAACCCACCGAACCTATCACAGCTGGACACCAACGCCGTAAATATATTTTATCAATCATAATCATATATTGTAATAAAAAAAGCCATCCAAAAATTCAAAGATTAATATTTAATTATTGTTAACTCTGTAGTGCGTCCCGATGCACCGGAACCGCCTAAAGCAGACAGGATCACCAAGGATTCGGTGACCTTAAGCTGGCGACCACCGCGAAGCGATGGTGGCGCGAAGATCAGAGGCTACATCATACAGAAAAAGGCCAAGGACGACGACGACTGGTCGGACGTGAACGGCGCACCTATACCGAGCAATGTGTACACCGTGCCGAAACTGAAGGAGGGCGAGGAGTACCTCTTCAGAGTGTTCGCGGTGAACGACGTCGGTAGCAGCGACCCGAGCCGACCCAGCAATCCTATTGTCATCGAGGAGCAACCCAACAAGCCGGTCATGGATCTCGGTGGAGTTCGCGACATCACCGTTCGCGCCGGCGAGGACTTCTCTATTCATGTGCCTTACATAGGTTTTCCGAAACCGACCGCCACGTGGTTCGCCAACGACGTCATTAAGGATGAAACCGATTCACGTGTCCATCAGCAACTGGCCGATGATTTCGCCAGGTATATATATTTTCTCGATTATTATAAATTTTACACAGAAAGAAATAAGATGATAAATAATATTCTTAAAGTTTAATATTATATGTATGAAGTGCTAAATATTTTTCTTTATCGTATTAGCTAATTATTAGATGAAGATATATATGATGACATTGTATGGTACAATTTTCCGTTGTAGTCTGGTGGTGAAGAATGCGAAACGTTCGGACGGAGGACAATACAGACTTCAACTACGCAACTCGTCCGGCTTCGATACGGCGACTGTCAACGTCAAAGTCCTCGATCGTCCTTCCCCACCTGAGAATCTCCGCGCAGATGAATTTGGCGGTGACGCTCTTACTCTTTTCTGGAATCCGCCCAAGGATAACGGCGGTGCTGATATCACTAATTACGTGATTGAGAAGAAGGAGCCGAAGGCCGCCACGTGGTCCAAGGTAAAGAAATATTATAGAAAAAAAGATCATGAAATATCGAGATTAAAAATACAGAGTATACCATTCTTTTTTACATTTATCTATTTCTGCAAAAATTGAAAAAATTGATTTATTATATTCTAATGAATTAAAATAACACGATTATTTAATTACATTTATATAAAGCATAAATAAATATTCACACACATAGATTTCTTTATCCAATAATTATAAGAGAGAAAAACTAATAATAAAGAATACAGAAAACATAAAAAATCTAAAATTGTCTTTGACTTGAATATACATACTGGAGTTTAAAGAGAAAAAAAACTTGCAGGTGAGCAGCTATGTCACGACACCGTTCGTGCGGGTCAGGAATCTGACGGTCGGACAGGTGTACGAATTCCGAGTGATGGCCGAGAATCAGTATGGCACATCGGATCCGGCGACGACGATCGATCCGATCAAAGCACGACATCCGTTCGATCCGCCGGGCGCTCCCGGCGCACCTCGCGGCGTGGAGACCACCGAAGACAGCATCACCATCACCTGGAGCAAGCCGCGTCACGATGGTGGTTCGCCGATCATCGGTTACATCGTCGAGAAGCGTCTCCTGAGCGAGGACAAGTGGGTCAAGGCTACTCCGGCTCTGGTGCACGATACCACTTACAAGTGAGTGATGTATTTGCTTTATCCAATAATTATAAGAGAGAAAAACTAATAATAAAGAATACAGAAAACATAAAAAATCTAAAATTGTCTTTGACTTGAATATACATACTGGAGTTTAAAGAGAAAAAAAACTTGCAGGTGAGCAGCTATGTCACGACACCGTTCGTGCGGGTCAGGAATCTGACGGTCGGACAGGTGTACGAATTCCGAGTGATGGCCGAGAATCAGTATGGCACATCGGATCCGGCGACGACGATCGATCCGATCAAAGCACGACATCCGTTCGATCCGCCGGGCGCTCCCGGCGCACCTCGCGGCGTGGAGACCACCGAAGACAGCATCACCATCACCTGGAGCAAGCCGCGTCACGATGGTGGTTCGCCGATCATCGGTTACATCGTCGAGAAGCGTCTCCTGAGCGAGGACAAGTGGGTCAAGGCTACTCCGGCTCTGGTGCACGATACCACTTACAAGTGAGTGATGTATTTGCGCTATTCACCCTCCCTCTCTACGTGTCCTTACATTACTTCTTCGGAAGAAATAGTCTCTCAACGAGATGTTTTATTAATTATTTTTGTCGATCTCGCAGGGTCACAGGACTGATCGAGAATCACGATTATGAATTCCGAGTAGCTGCGGAAAATGCCGCCGGCCGTGGACCATGGAGCTCCAACTCCGACGTTATTCGCGCCAGCGCACCACCATGTAAGTATATCTTCTTTAGAGATTTTATTCAAAATAAAAAACATCTATATATATTAATGAATACACAATAAAATAATCTTTTTGCAATTAAATTTTCCGTCGTCATTAATTTTGACTGCCGACAAGTTTTGGATATTATTTGAGATGTCAATCGTTTTGTTACAGTCCCACCGAAGATCACGAGCGATCTCAGCATCCGCGACATGACCGTTATCGCAGGAGAACCGTTTACCATTACGGTGCCGTATACGGCTAATCCTAGACCAAGACCTAACTGGTCCATCAACGGCGAGGAGGTCCTCACCGGCGAAAGAATCAAGTTCGAGACGACCGATGTGGCCTCGCAGTTCATCAACAAGAAGGCGAAGAGGTCTGACACTGGCACATACACGATATACCTCACAAACACCGTTGGCACCGATTCCGCCTCGTGCAAAGTTCTCGTTGTCGGTAAGTTTTTTATTATGCATTAATTTTTAACTCCTGACTTGTCATTTTTTTTCTTAAAATTGCAACTTAGATTTAATTTTCAGAAAATCATACGCATATTTGAAAAAGAAATTCTTTGAGAAGTTTTACGGAAAAAAAATTCTCTTTTTATAAACCTTGTCTTAAACTCATTTTCTTTATTCATTTCTAGACCTATAATAATGATGTTTATTAGTAGACTATATGTATTTTTTAACGTCTTTTGATTTTACAAGCCATATGTGATACATTGTGAAATGATTTTCTTTTTAGACAAACCGTCGCCACCGCTGGCGCCCTTGGACATCTCCGATATCACTCCGGAAACCTGCACGCTAACGTGGAAACCGCCCTTCGACGATGGCGGTTCGCCGATCACAAATTACATCGTCGAGAAACTGGATCCGGCAGGCGTAAGTTCAATAGAAAGGATCTATAAAAATGACGCCATTAAAGAAATAATATTAGATTTTCCCTTTCGATATAAAGTATCAACATTATCTGACAGATATTAAGATTTTCATTACTTTTTCGAATTCTTTTCAGTACTGGGTGAAGCTCAGCAGCTTCGCGAGAAGCACGCATTACGACGTGATCGGTCTGGAGCCAAATCGCACGTACAACTTCCGAGTAAGAGCGGAGAATCAGTACGGAATATCCGATCCGCTTCAGGCAGACGAGCCGATAACGGCCAAGTTCCCGTTCACGGTGCCGGATCCGCCCGGACAGCCGCGTGTCATCGACTGGGACACCTCGAACGCGACGGTGGTCTGGACAAGACCACTGTCCGATGGAGGATCTCGCATTCAGGTGTGTGTTATCAATTTACAAGGGAAAAATCATCGACACATTTTACATTCGAAATTTGGCGTATTATAAACAGCCGCAACTTTACGAATTATACAAATTTATCTCAGACTTACACTTTTAAAATCAATATACATACCTTTTTGAGGCAACATTTTGAAGTATTTTCGTGGACTTGGAATAATCCACGCAAAAATTTCGATTACAGGGCTACAAGATCGAATTCCGCGATCCCGCCGAGGATGTGCAATGGCGTGTGGCGAACGACTACCTCTTCAAGGACACCACGTACGTGTGCTATGGTCTAATGAGCGGACACGAGTACGAATTCAGGATCCGCGCGAAGAACGCGGCCGGTTTCAGCAAACCGAGCCCGCCGTCCGCGCCGTTCAGACTCAAGAGCAAGTTCAACGTGCCATCGCCACCAGGCACGCCGCAGGTCACCAAGGTCGGCAAAAACTACGTCGATCTACGATGGGAACCGCCCGTGTCCGACGGCGGCAGCAGGATCACCGGCTACGTGATCGAGAAACGCGAAGTGGGCAGCGCAATGTGGTCCAAGTGCAACGAGTACAACGTCGTCGATACCGAGTACACGGTCATGCACCTGATCGAGCGGGGCGACTACGAGTTCAGGATCTTCGCGGTGAACGCGGCCGGCAGGTCCGAGCCGAGCTCGTGTACCACCCCAGTGAAAATCTGCGAGGTCGAGGGTGGCGAAAAACCGGAGTTTATCAGGAATCTGCCCGTCAGTCAAATCATACCGCTCGGCAAGACCCTCGTCCTCGAGTGCGAGGCCACGGGTAAACCACTACCGACTGCCAGGTTAGTGGGAATAACATTTATCTAATATTCATTTTTTAATCGTATTATTTGTCATAGGATGAGGATATTATCTGAATTAAGATAATATTAAAACTGTGCGTTTTTTTTTTAAATTAAGATTTATATTTTTATACTTATCTCATATTTATTAAAGATAAAAGTTTATTAAGAACACATGCATGTCGTCATTTTTATATTTGATACATCCTTTAACGATAATTATAATCTAAATTTAGATTTTAAATTTTATATATTTACTTTTAAATAAAAATTTTAAATTTATTACGAATTATTCAACTTAATTTATTAATATAACGGTACGTATATATTAATATATAATTTTTAAGTATATGTATATATAAATTAAAGTTTTTGTTATCAATAAAAAATAAAATTTCATAATTTCTGTCAATATACATATTTCTAGATTTAATTTAATTTTTAAATTATAATTTTAACTTGTTCAGGTGGCTGAAGAACGGCCGTGAGATCACCCTGGGCGGTCGCTTCCGTGCTGAGGCGATAAACGGAATCTATAGACTGGTTATTTCCGAGGTATGGGATGCGGACGACGGGGATTACAGCTGTCAGATATCGAATCAGCTCGGCGTCGCCGCGACCACGTGCCGGCTAAAGATTGGCACACCACCGCGTATCGAGCGCATGCCGGGCGATCTCTATCTGCCGGAGGGCGACAATACGAAGATCAAGATCTACTACAGCGGCGATCAGCCAATGGAAGTGACGCTGAAGAAGGACGGTCACAAGATCGTAGAAACCACGCACATCAAATATACCGTCTTCGACGAGTACCTCATCATCTTCATCAAGGACATTCAGAAAGATGATGCCGGCACTTATGATCTGTCCATCTCCAACGACAGCGGCAGCGTGAGCGCGTCCTTCACCGTATATATCACCGGATTACCTGGACCACCGACTGGACCGCTCGATGTCTCCGATATCGACAAGCATACATGCACCCTATCCTGGCACCCGCCTAAATACGACGGCGGTCTTCGGATCACCCATTATGTGGTTGATCGTCGTGATGTCAGTCACACGCACTGGATCATTGTGTCGTCCTTCTGCAGGGACACCACCTTTGTCGTGCAGGGTCTCACCGAGGGCCAGGAATATCTGTTCCGGGTGATGGCGGCCAACGATAACGGCATGGGTCCACCGCTGGAGGGTATCAATCCGATCAAGGCCAAGGCGCCGTTTGATCCGCCGGGACCACCCGGTACACCCAAGGTCATCGAGGTAGGCGGCGACTTTGTCAATCTCTCATGGGAGAAGCCGGAAACGGACGGCGGTGCGAAGATTCAGGGTTACTGGATCGATAAGAGGGAGGTCGGCAGTCAGGCCTGGCAGCGCGTAAACGTCAGCATCTGCCTACCGACGCAGATCAACATCAGTAATCTGATCGAAGGAAGGCAATACGAGTTCCGAGTATTCGCTCAGAACGTGGCTGGACTCAGTCCCGAGTCAAAGGCCTCGACCTCCGTGAAGATCGTCGATCCACAGGCGGCGAAACCTCCGGAGATCATTCAACCTCTTCACAAGGTTCGTGTTTTCCCTTGTATCTTGATTATAAACAGTTTTATAATAACCATCCCCAGAATTCATAGATTTATATTACAAATTTAAAAAGTGTTAAATAAAAAATAAATAATAATCCTAAAAATCTTTATTATTTGGATCTTGCTTCTTTGACCCAAAATAATTAACTTCTTTTCATTTATTTCACCAGGTGAATTGCGTCCAGAACCACAACGCTCACTTCCAATGCAAGATCATCGGCACGCCGAAGCCGAGCATTACATGGTTTAAAGGCGCCCGCGAGATCGTGAGCGGCAGCCGCTACAACGTCTACTCCGAGGGCGATACCCACAATCTCATCATCCACGATGTTTTCGGCGAGGACGCCGACGAGTACTTCTGTCGCGCGGCTAACAAGTGCGGCGTGAAATCCACCAAGGGCGAGCTCTTCATCAAGACGCCGCCCAGACTGAATGTACCGCCGAGATTCCGCGACACCGCCTTCTTCGACAAAGGCGTGAATGTCGTTATCAAGATACCGTTCACCGGCTACCCAAAACCAAAGATCACGTGGGTACGCGAAGGCGAGGTGATCGAGTCCGGCGGTCATTACGCCGTCGAGGTGAAGGAACGTCACGCCATACTGACGATCCGCGACGGCAGTCGCATCGACTCCGGCCCGTATCGCATCACCGCCGAGAATGATCTAGGCCAGGACACGGCCATCATCAAGATCCAGATCAGCGATCGTCCGGATCCACCCAGATTCCCGCAGGTGGATAGCATCGGCCACGACTCGCTGGCGGTTAGCTGGAAGCCACCGTTGTGGGACGGCGGCAGCAACATCACCAACTACGTGGTGGAAAAACGCGAGCATCCGATGAGTACCTGGATTCGGGCCGGCAACACCCGGTTCTGCACGCTTGCGGTAACCGGTCTGAGCCCCGGACATCAGTACGACTTCCGTGTGTGCGCGGAGAATATCTATGGTCGATCCGATCCGAGCGAGGTGACACCGCTGATCACTACGAAGGGTGTGATCAAGCGCGAGTTCAAGAAGAAGGAGTACGAGGTGGACGCGAGCGGCAAAAAGATACGTGGACGCGACGACGAGAAGCCACGCGACTACGATCAGTTCGTGTTTGACGTGTACAGCAAGTACGTGCCGCAGCCGGTCGAGATCAAGCACACGTCGGTCTACGACAAGTACGACATCCTCGAGGAGATCGGTACCGGCGCGTTTGGCGTGGTGCATCGTTGCCGCGAAAGGACCACCGGCAACATATTCGCCGCCAAATTTATCCCAGTGTCGCACGTGATGGAGAAGGAGTTGATCAGGAAAGAGATCGACATCATGAATCAGCTGCACCATCCCAAGCTGATCAATCTGCATGATGCCTTTGAGGACGACGACGAGATGGTGCTCATTTTCGAGTTGTAAGTATCCACTTTGAGGCAGAAAAATCAGAATAATTAAATAGAATTCGATTAGAATTTCGACGAGTTGTGACGAGTTTGCATTATATCCTTGATCTCGATCATTTGTCTCGTTAGCCTGTCCGGCGGCGAGTTATTCGAGAGGATCACGGCCGAGGGTTACACTATGTCCGAAGCAGAGGTAATTAATTACATGAGGCAAATCTGTGAGGGCGTCAAGCATATGCACGAAAAGAACATCATCCATCTGGGTGAGTCGTTGTTAATATAAAGATAATTTTCTTATAACACTAATAAAGCTTATGAGAAATCTTATATCATTAGTTTATAAATTTCTTAATAAAATAAATCAATGATTATCTTCTAATATATTGTAATATTTTTGTATTTATTTTTTAATATTTAAAAAAATATGCCATTGTTTTTTCAGATATCAAGCCGGAAAATATCATGTGTCAAACTCGTAACAGCACTAACGTAAAACTGATTGATTTCGGTCTGGCCACTAAACTCGATCCGAACGAAGTAGTAAAGATCAGCACAGGTACGGCCGAGTTCGCCGCTCCCGAGATCGTCGAACGTGAGCCGGTCGGTTTTTACACCGACATGTGGGCCTGCGGCGTACTGGCTTATGTTTTGTGAGTAGATCCTTCTGTTTGCTAATTATAATAATTATACAATTTATTATACAATTAATATACAATTTAATATACAATTTAATATACAATTAATATGCAATTTAATATACGTATAGTATAAAGATACATATTAAACATTTTCTAGAAATATCACATTGAAATATTCTGAAAAGATGTATGCAGTATCTTATATTTTTTGTTAGTAATATCGTATAGGTATGTGATGGAAAATTGTTAAGAATATAGTGATTGCAAAGTGATTGGAAATAAAGAGAAAATGAGGAGTTCAGAAAATTTTGCTAAATTGAATTTTATATGATTAATTGCAACTAATCGATACAAAAAATTTCAGTGAACTGCTTCATACATAGAAAGTTTGAAAAAACGATAATCCATTCTCTAATAGCGATAATTAATTCTTAATCTCTAATTGTAACATGTTCAAAACACGAAATATTATAACAGAAAAGAAATCCACATAAAAAGACGTTAAATTTATTGCCATTAAAATTTCAGTCATTTTAATTGCAGTCTTTAATTAATTTTTAATCAGTCATTTTTTGCATAGCTTTGAAATAATTGAAAAATTCTAAAATAAAAAAATGCATTTATATTTACGAGAAGAATTTTCTTGATAGAAGAAAATCTCTATACCGAGATATTCTAGTATGCATTATTTGCACAGATTGAGTGGTCTTTCGCCGTTTGCGGGTGACAATGATATCGAGACCCTGAAAAATGTGAAAGCATGTGACTGGGACTTTGATGAGGAGGCATTCCGCGACGTTTCCGAGGAGGGCAAAGATTTCATCAGGCGACTACTCATTAAAAACAAAGAGTACGCTCTCTACTATATTCTGTATAATATAGAAAACCTGTATTGAATCTTTCTATCATTCACGTGTGTCTTCGTCTTTCAGGAAGCGCATGACAGCACACGAGTGTCTCGTTCATCCGTGGTTGACCGGCGATCATAGCAAGTGGACCAACCCGATCGCCAGCAGCCGTTACCTCAGCATTAGGGACAGATTGCGTGCCAAGTACGAGAATTGGGACAAGTACGTCCTTCCCATCGGCCGCCTAGCCGAGTACTCGTCGCTCAGGAAGCTTTTGATCGAGAAATACAGAATCTACGATTCTTGCTTCGGTGAGTATAATTAACGTATTATAAAAGGACTAAAAATTTCATCAAAATCTTAATTCTCTAGGATTAATAATTCATATTTTCTCTTATAGATCGTCGACAAGCGGCGCCCAGATTTGTTATCAAGCCGCAAAGCGCGTTCGCCTACGAGGGACAGAGCGTGAAGTTTACCTGTCGCGTGATCGCAATCGCGGCGCCGACGCTGACCTGGTCGCACAACAATCAAGAGCTACGGCAGTCCGTCAAATTCATGAAACGGTACCACGGTGACGATTATACCTTCATCATCAATAGAGTTAAGCTGGAAGACCGAGGAGAGTACATCATACGCGCGGAGAATCACTATGGATATCGCGAGGAGGTTGTCTTCCTTAATGTACAACGTAAGCGTTTCTTCTATCAAAATTTTATATTTATACTTCTGCCATTCTGTAATATTAGATGACACCGTTTGAAATATTTAATATCAAATATTTTAAATTTAATATACTTGCGTACTAATTTTTTGAATTTATTTGGTTCTCTATATATTTAAGTTATATATAATAAAAAACAAAGTACTCCTATCAAAATTTATGTTTTTTCACCCTTTCAGCACTGCCGAGAGAAATTCCAAAATATAGGCCCGAGTTGCATCCGGTACGCAGACGAGAACCGCTCGGCTACAATGTATGGCTGGAGATGATCGAGTCGGCGCCGAGCTTTACCTTCCTGCTACGACCACGTGTCATCCAGATCAGGCAGACATGCAAGCTGCTCTGCTGCCTGAGCGGTAACCCACCGCCCACTGTAAAATGGTACAAGGATAGAGAAGAGTTATCCAAGTATAACTATCCTATGAGCAACGCCGACGGGGTCGTCACGATGGAGATCATTGACTGCAAGCCGGAAGACAGCGGCAAATATCGCTGCGTGGCTAGCAACAAGCACGGCAAGGACGAGACCAGTTGTGTGGTCATCGTAGAAGGTACGAGATAAATAAGTCATTAAATATTGAATAAAACAAATAAAATATTAGAATTAAAAATTATTTTGTACATAATTTTAGAATTGAATGCAATGGTCTCACTTACTTCTTATATGAATAATTTTTTTTTAAACAGCAAGAGATTCAATCGATTTCAGTCTATATATGTAAATTAATCTAAATTTAATTATCTTACGTTAAGATAAGTTTTGTCAAAAGTGAAACACATCATTGCTGTAATCAATTCTTCGAAAGAAGATTTAAAAGCAAAAGTGGGGGCTGATGTTATAAAACTTACTTTACGCACAAAGAATTTTATATTTAAAATAGATTTTGTACAATTTGGGAGATTTATTTCTGTTCTTTGAATCGTCGAATCTCAGTGATAAGATCGGTAATACTCTCGATATAATCTAATGCGGAGTTTGATGATAAGACATACTTTATTGAGCGTTTGTGTTGTAGGCACTGGAGAAACGGAGGAGCAAGTAAAATTAGCGCACGATTTCCTACATTCCGGAGGTAGAGCTGTTTCAGAGCTTACCCCGTTTGTGTGTGCAATCCTTTTCCACCGTTATTACAAGCAATGCTTCATTAGCTGATAGATTACCTTATTTTATGTGTACATTGTCAAGCTTTTTCCATTAGAAATCATAAATATTGCACATACACACATGCCATCACGTAGTTATCATGCTAGCTCTACAATATGCAAATTATTTAACAGACAATTTTATTTTACGTTATTCAGAGCTATTCAAAAAACTGAATTTTATTTTTATATTCTAAATATATTTAAAAAATAACATCTTTTATTTCTTGAATTATTGTGTAACTAGTTTACTTCCCTTAATCTGTATATATGTACTTTATGTTGAATTAATTTTCCCGTTTATTTTATAGTTAGTTTTTTACTTTTATAATCTATTGTTTTTTATTTGCAGTAAAACGCAAGTCTCATAATTTATATTTTGCTATTACGGATTTATACGCAAACATATTATATTTAGTAACGAATAATTTTAATTTAAGATCGAAGGTTTATCGAGCAACCACTAAAACCAGCACCACCGCCGATCGTGACAGTCCACAAGTCTAGCGGTTACAGCGGCTACAGTTCCACCACCCAAGGTCAATCAAGCTCATCGCATAATTACAGCTCCACCTCTTCCTATGGCAAACACAATTCCACGACTTCCTCTTCGTATAAGGTATAAAAAGAGAAAAAAAGATATATATATA